TTCCCCCATTCAAACTTAACAACCTGGAAGGAACTGTACTGCCGGCTGTTGTATTCAGGTAGCTGTGGGTGCCTGAATACCCAAACAGCGACTGCATTTGATTGGATGCAGTTACTATTCAGCCAAGAATTTTCCATCTGGATCAGTCAATTTTTAAATTGACTTTTGTTGAGCCGGCTGGTTCCAGCAGAGTCACCCACAGCTTGAGTTTCAGCCAATTCAGTAGGAATTGGCCTAAATTGGAGCTTTGTATGGCCAGCTTAGGGCAAGGTCTGATTTACCAAAGTGTGAAAAGAGGTTAGGCCAGCCTGTGTGCAAGCATCCATTCATGTGTGGGAGAGGCTCTGTCTTTGTAAAATCCCCAGTACATGATATATGATTCTGTCAGTAACTCCATTAATGGATAGTGGATGCAGCCTGCTTCCAGGTTAGCATGCACTCTTTGGGTACATTACTGCTTTCTCTACCCTTGTTCTATTTGCACTTGTTCAGTAAGTCACGTGATGCAAGAAATGTTAGTTAGTTGGGAGTTAGTTGGGCAATGAATAGAACTCTGAGTGCAGGAAATATAACCAGACATGGAGGGCCAGGTCTGTAGAGAAAGGAATTCAGCACTCAGAACATACATAGGACCCTCACCTAACACAGCTAACAGAGATATGTACATACAATTTTACATTGTTGGTAACATCTGATACATGTATAAAGTTCATGAGTTTATCATCACTAAAGACATGGGAAAATGGTGGGTCAAAATATGTTTGAATTGGCCATACACTATACAATCTGTGTACAGATTTACCAAGACTATGTCATATGAGGACAAACCTAAACAGGCCATTCAAATAGTGTGAATACAGACAGGCCCCTGCACTACATAGCTGATGGCAGATCTAATGGAGATTGTATAGTGTATGGTCAGAAACACAGGAAGACATTAATTAAATGTTGTAATGTACAAGTACCACAAACCTGAGAATCGGTGTCATTAATATATCAGGGATAACAGTGTGCCCCCATATTCTCTCCTGAATTTAGACACATGTTCTTTCACATGTATTTAAAGTCAATGGCAAACGTCTAGATTTGGACAAAGGAAACATATGTATAAGCAGGGGCGGAGTGATCGTGAGAGCACTCGGCACTGCCCAAGGGCCCAGGGTCAGTAGGGGGCCCCATGAAATGCCCCTGGTACCTTTTATAGGCTTTTTTGGGTGTGCTTTGAATGTGCTCAAGGACACAGGGGCCCCATGATCCCCTATTGCCCGGGGGCCCCAAGAGCTGTCAGTCCTCCCCTGTGTATAAGCATTGTATTAACTGTCCTATGTGGACTTATGTGCCATTCTGAGTCATTCTGATTGGAATTGTGCTCTTTGCTGCATACAAGAAGCAATTATCAGCAGATCAAATGTAATCCATCATGATAACTGACTCTCATATAAGCAAGTTCAGTACCACAGCTACAGTATATAAAGTATATAAATAAACACTAAACACATGATCCTAATAAAAGACATATTAGACATCCTCACTTACTCACCTATTTTAAGACTGGTAGCTTTTATAGCTCACAGTACATTATACAGCATCACTGGGGTACAGCCTTATTAAGGAGTTAGGGAATCAAGCAGTGATCCTTTATACACTCATGTATAGCAACATGAGTTCAGTTTTACTGTACTTAGATCAGTTGAAAAGGTCTGCAATTGCTTTTTATGGGTTATGGTTCTCTTGCTCTTTGCTTTGTTCAGTGTGTATATATATATATATATATATATATATATATATATATATATATATATATATATATATATATATATATATATATATATATAAACATTTTTATTATTTATTTATTTTCAGTTAATGTTGAGATGCTTGGTGGGCTAGTCTTACAACAAATGGATTCCACTCCACCTTACATTAAATAGTCCATCTTAATGTAGAGTTGTGGCATCAAATATTCAGCAGTAAATTCTTTAATCCTAGTAATTTACCATATCATAGTACACAAGGAACCAAAATACCAAATACCATATCATGGTACCAAATACCAAAAGTGTATACTTGAGAAAGGAGGGGCCCGAAACTGTCATTCATTTTGGTTCTATGATATTGTAAACCAATTAGTAAGATTTATGAAGTTATCTCAGGAATATTTGTGGTCACACATGTATATTTTGTGTTACACATAAATTTTACAGTGTGCAATCACTTATACAGACATAGTGTACAGTATATAAAATGTGTTATCATTGCAAGAAAATCCCATTAATGATGCAATATATAATTTAAGTACTATATTTATATAAAGAATGATGTATATAAAAGACTTAAAAAAAGGTGTGATAAAAGATGTTTATTGTAACATATAGTTAGTTATACTGAGGCCTCAATTATGGATCCCAAGCTAATAAAACCTCCCATTTTGTTCATTCTAGATCTGTATCTTTCATCTGTGCCAACAGTCTAACTGTATGTGATCATTTTTGTTGTCTCAGTGCCAAAACTCAGGCACAGATTATTCAAAACTTCCCATTCAGGTAATAGGTTGGCAGATCCCAGAGAATAATTACGTCTATGTTATGTTTGATTCACTGCATTAAATTGCGTAGCCTTGGGGGCTTTCCTTAAATTAACTAATTCATTAAGACAAGCCTCTGCGCGCTTGTAACATTAAAGAAACAGCAATAACTGTTCTCAGTTTAAACCTCCAGATGAGATCCGCTCTCTCAGTCTGGATTCTGCATGGAGAGCGATTTCTAAATAGTCAACATACTTTTCCTTATAAGGAATATCTGTCTGGAATCCATATGCAGCCGCTTTCACTCCACAATACAGAATGTTCCATTGTATCATAGACTGCAAGCTTCAGACCTGTGCTGCCATTACAATGTACACTGAGCTTCAGAACTGACAATAGGCTTCAGAATCACTTTCTACAACAGCTTTCTCCCAAAAACAAATTTCTTGGATTATTCCTAGTGAGCTGATTACTTTTAAACATATAGTAAACACATCATTATTTTTCTGTCACTGAAATATTTAAAAAAAAGACTTAAATACTATATATATATATATATATATATATATATATATAAAAAATAAATATATATATATATATATATATATATATATAAAATATTTAATACCTTCCTAGTATTTCCCTTAAAATGGAATGTTTTAATTGTAGAATTATAAAATATGCTCTAGAAGGGGATTGATAATGTATAGGGAAGCTCATGCATGGTATACTGAAGGGTCCACCCAGAACCAAGTTATTTAACCTTTGACAAGGAGCAGACAGCTGAGGCTGAGAGTCTTGAGTGTATACCATATAAAGCTTGGAGTTATATATAAACCAAGTGTGTGCCTATCTCTGCACTCTGCAGGAACAGCAAGTATCATCTTCCTCCTTCCTTTACTGTAAGGACTGGAGTTCTCCTTGGCAGATGTATGACAGATTGGAAGAAAGAGGTCACTGCAAAATTTAAATGGCTCCTGTCATCTACAAAGACTCTTGTCTCTGACCTCATCAGCTAACAATGGCTGGACATCAAAAAGATTTTGCCTTTCAGATTGCTAATCCCACTTCCATTTTTCTGCCATGCTGTCACACACCTTGTACAACTACTCTAAAAGTTGTTCTCTGACGACTGTCCTCTTTGTAATGGAAGCTTTTTTCCAATTCACTAAAATTACATTCAGAATTATAACCCTGAAACATTTTCTAACGCACATTTATTAAACTGGATTTGGGGAAATGAAGTTGCTTGCATCGCTAGAATGGAAAATGCAAATACTGGCTGTTCTATTACAAAAATTGATTCTAAGGCCACATTCAAGCCTAGAGATCATCAGAACCATAAGGAAACAAATAGGAAATAGCTAATATGTATAGTTCTATAACCCTAATAGTTACAATAGGGGCTTAATGCCTAAAAATCTATGGAATCTAAAACAAAAGGTACCAAAACTAGCCCTAGGCCTATAATAAAAGGATAATGTATGGATGTGACTTACTAAAGAAATAGACAGCTCACAACACAGTACAGTTGTGTTCACTTTAATTACCCAATAATGTGCAAGGGGACTGGGAAGTTAGAAATTGAATATGATTGGATAATTGATGTGAAAAGAGCTTTATTGAGATATAGGGAACATACTACTGTTTTAGTATGTCAACCCCATTGTTTCATGATTATATTAAATTCCCATTTAACTGTACATTTCCTTCCTAATTCCATTCTATTGCCTATAGTATCCCAAAGAGATTTTACTTTTTAGCCCCTCCCCTATCTGAAATTCTATATCTCTCATTCAAAAAACAGGGCTGATTCATCAAAACTGTATTGAAACACAAGTTTAAAGCTGTTGCCCATAGCCGCCAATTAAAGGTGAACTCTGCTCAGCTGCTAATGGCAACAACTCTAATTTTTCGCTCATTTTCTTTTCCTTGGCTTTGCTGTCTATTCCCCAATTTTTGTTGCCCTGATATCTCAATAATGATGATTATGTGCACATTACTACATATACATGTATGTGTGTTTTGCGTTTTTTACAAAAATGCTGTATACAGCATATATATGTGTGAATTAGTTCCACTGTTTAGTAATCCTTAGTCATGAGTAGTTCATTAATCGGTTAATCATATCAAATGAAAGTTGTCTATCACAGTTAAATGTTTCAGTTGTGAGTTAACCCATACCATGCTGAGGTGTCTACTAATCACCAGGGAATACTCTATAGCCTTGAATAGGCCCCTCAGACAGTAATGGGCGAGTTAATGAAAATATTCAATATATTGGGTTACATTTGTTAATGTAAGTAAATGGAAACATGTACAATTTGAAACATTTTAGGAATGGCCCACACCCCTATGTGACACATGCAGTGTAATATGGCCAGGAATGTGTGAATAGAACAGGTGCAAAGCTAGTGTCTTAGCAAGAAAACAAAGGGATGTGCAATGGTTGGGGACTTTTGGAACCTTAACTTACATCAGTGGCCTTCTTCTCAGCAAGCTCCAACTTTTCCTGGGCATCTTTAAGGGCTTCTGAATATTTGTCCAGCTCATCCTCTGTACCCTTCAGTTTCTTCTGCAGTGCTACAAGTTCATCCTCCAGCTGTGTCCGGGTAGGACCAGTGCCATGGGGGGCAGTGGGTGCATGGACGAGGGCAGTGACGAGGGGGTAGTAAGGTGTGGCAGCAGGCAACAGAGGTGCAGAGGGAACAGGACAGGAACCACAAGGAGAGAGAGAGAAAGGGAGAGAGAGAAAGAGAAAGAGAAAGAGAAAGAGAGAAAAGAGTTAGACAGTTGTCACTGGTACGGTCTTATACCTTAGTGGCCTTCTCTTCAGCAGTTAGGAGGCTCTCTTCAGCCTGATGAAGGTCATCCAAAATCTTATCCCTTAAATCCTCAGTCTGCCGCAACTGCTTTTCCATTTGGGCAATCTCCTCCTCTAACTAAGTGGAGGTATAATGATCAGGAACAAGAAAAATAGGAGATATCAATGTATTCATGTACTATTAGTCCATCGATTTAATATAATGTATATGTAGATACGTTATTCCAATAAATAGAAGGAGCCAATGGAACAAAGGCATGAAATCTGCTCATAATGAAATGCTTATTCACAAACTCCCAGTAACAGAAATCAAATCAACATAGTCCATTTAGGGAAGTAATAGGAACATGAACCATGTCTATTATCCATTGTCAATTATGTGAATAAGCCTTTTGCTATAGCAGGAAGACATGACATTTTGGAAGGTGCTCTTATTACAGCTTAATATAGGCAGTCAGCACTTTTAATAAGCAGCACCTAGTGCTGAGCTCTTGGTGACAATCACAAATACAAAGATAACATGTCATTGTCAGGCTCAGCAGCCAATATTTAGAAAACATTTGTTCCATTTCTCAAATTTGTTTCTACCATCTATCAACTTGCAACAAATGTGTGAATCAGATCTGCTGGTAGGACTCATGGGTCCATTCAGTGACAGTTTATAGAGTGATGCATTAAAGCAGTATTAAATCCTAAAACAAAAAAATGTATTATATTGCAGACAAGTAATTTTTAGATGTAGTAGCTGCATTAGTTTTTTTATTAAGATTTTCTTTTAGTTTCACCTGGTGTCTGGCCAGTAAATCTGATTATTTTTTCACTTCCTTTAACAGACCAAGCTGCCTAGCAAAAATGGCAGTTATAAGGTTAAACAAGCTGTTTAACACTGACAGGGGTGCTTACATTAGTCAGATTTGATTGATTTATCTAAAACTTTTATCACAAAAGAAAAAATAAACGGTTGCTGTAACTGCTTAAAAAGTTTTAGCTGGAGTTCTGCTTTAATTTGTTAGTCAAGTCCATCTATATGTGCTAGTCCATCTAACACTACCCTGTCCCCGGGTTGACAAGGCTGCTGTACAAAGGTGTCTCTATTGCTCTTCCATCCATACATGAGACACTCTAAGGCTGGCCATACATTATACAATTTTCTTGAGAATTGTGCTTTAGATTTACCAAAAACCATATAATATGAGGTCAAACTTAAACAACAGTTTCAATTGTATCCAATTAGGCAGGCCCTTGCACTACACAGTTGAAGGTAAATCTATAGGAAATTGGGCAGAAATCGGATAGAAATCTGTATAGTGTATATGGACAAGAAGTGTGCTAACAGCACAGATCACCAGGTGAAAATAAAGCAAAAAAGACAAAAAAAAAAAAAAAAGAAAACTAAAGCAGTCACCACATTTAAAGATTAATAAGCTGCAATGTAATAAATTTTTGGGTTTAATACAGCTTTAACATTTCCAAGAAAAAGGTGAACATATTAGGATGACCTCTTGGATAAAAATCAGGACTGGCACTTGATGTCCTCTATTGGCACTGCTCTAGGGGGGGCTTTTGGCTTTTGGTGGAGTAGGGAAAGTCCAAGCAGACCTGTTTGCTCTTGTCCTCTGCTCCCTTCTTGTCAGCTTCAGCCTGTTCTGCTCTGTCCAAGGCATTTTCCTTGTCGAGCTTGAGCATCTGCATCTTCTTCTTGATGGCGTCCATGGCTGCTGGTTGGGCTGGGGGCTAGTCACACACAGAACCGGGACAAGAGGACAGGACCTTGGAGGATGCAGAGAGAGCTTCCTTCTTAGACTGAGCCCTGGGCTGGAGTGCAAACTCTCAGCTGTTCCAGCCTCAGAAATATGTACCAGGGATGGGTGAGGGGGGGTTACACAAATTCCTTAGGACACCCAATACTTTTTTGGGAGCCTTGCCTCTGTGTCCCACTGCTGGCTTTTTTTAAGGCTGGCTCCTTCTATTCGCTGCAGCCAACCATTTGACTGCATTTGACTATATAAGGGGTGTGATGGGCAGAGGCATACATGGCTGGATGGGAGGGGGAGGCTGGGATGGGATTGGGGGGGGAGCAGCCTGTTCCTATTTCTAAACCTCTAGGCATGAGGCTGCAAGGGGAGCTCTCTGCTACATGGGACTTCTCAGGATAACTCCTTCAATTAACCATTATCTTCCTGCAGGGATTAATGGAGCTCCTACTGCTTTCTGATCACTCAGATGATGATGAGATGTCTGTATAAAGTCTGTACATAATGACTCCCAGACTGAGAGGGGGGCTACCAGAATATCAGGATGACATGTGGATCCTTTGTATACTTGTAGTATTTATTGATCCTGATGTAGATCCTTTTACACTTCTATCATTTATTGATCCTGCCATCATCTTATTGACAGGTACTAGAATGAACACTTTATGATAAAGAAAACTGATTTTTAAAGCACACATTGGGGGGAGATTTACTAAAATTGGAGAACACCGAATCTGGTGCAGCTGTGCAGAATACCCAATCAGATTCTTACTTCAGTTTGTTCAGTTAATCTAGGTTCACACCTATGCATTTTCTGTTGCCTGTCGCAGAAATGCACAGCAGTCCATTTAACATGATTTCCTATGGGACATGTTCACATCTCTGTCAGGAACTTTTTTTAAACGCAAAATGCGGCATTTTTGGTTCAATAGACTTCAGTGGGACACTGCAGAAATGCATGTAGAGCAGTTTTGATGCATTTTTGATGCGTTTTGCTTTTTAATCTGCCCAGCAAAAAGTTGGAAAAAAACACAAAACACATCAAAACCAAGTCAAAAATGCATGTGCAAAAATACAAAACACACCCCAAAAAGCACTGCAGAAACGTATCAAGCGCAAACTGCATAGGTGCGAACCTAGCCTAAAACCTATAATCTGATTAGTTACAGCTAGCTGCACCAGATTCTGTGTGCACCAATTTTAGTAAATTCCCCCTAATATGAAATCAAAGGCACACCCACATATCAGGACCCAGCTGCCCTTGATCACAGTACAGTTGTCAGCTGTCAGTTTGGCTTTTTTACTATTAATATTTGGCTTTATTATTTAGATTGTAAGCTCCAAGGAGCAGGGCCCTCCAACCCTCTTGTATTGAACTGTATTGCAGTATTGTCTCCCTTTATATTGTAAAGCGCTGAGCAAACTGTTGGCGCTATATAAATCCTGTATAATAATAATAGCATTGTTAGTATCTATTATTTCTAGCTGTCAGTTTGGCAGAACCAGCCATCGTTTTTAAAGTAGAACTTCACCCTAAAGGGCAAGTTCTGCTTTATGTCCCCCCTTTTTCTTTTGGAACTTTTTTCTCTGGGGTGCAGGTGCCTAGTTGTTGTAGGTACCCACTCCTACTCCTGCCTGTCTTGGTGATCCCACTAGAAGTTCGCCACCCCCCCCCCCCCCATCCTGCCCACAGCCTGCTGGAACACATCACAGTCCCAGTAGGCTGCAGGAGCATTCGTACAATGAGTGAGGCTTGCGCATGGACAGTGGGAAGCCAGCTGGAAAGCCGCAAGGAGTCACAGCCAGATTTCCACAATAAAATGTGCAAGCACCCAGTACCAAAATCGGTCCAGCTGAGGACAGTGTTTAAACCCTGGACAGGTAAGTGTTTTTTTGAAAAACGTCAGCCATTAATCAAGTGCAGGCATTATTCAGTCGAAAATTTTTTTTGTGGCTCCTTTGATTTTTCAGTCAAAGGATGTTGGGCAAGAGGGTGGTGACAGTGAATAGTGTATGGTCATCTTGATCTTTAGTGATGGGCCAAATACCCTCTTGCTCAAACATTTGAACCTAACGAAAATTCGATCTCGAACTTCAAACAGGGACAGTTCACTAAGCGGTATCTTATATATCCGAATAAGTTGGTGCAGCGCTAAGTAGTAATACACGTTAATATACACAATATCATGCTATTTCAAACATATGTGGATACGTGGTAGATGACCCTGATGGTGATACCTGGTAGCGGATCCTGGTGACCTTTTTTCCTGTGGAGCTTGGATGGTGAAAAAACGCAGTCGTGGGGTAAATACTTGACCCGAGACCAGGTGATGACCTATCTATGGCCTGGTGACGCAAGATTAATTATCATCTTTTTCCAGAAAAATGATAGCACATCTGGTGAGACCACATAGCATTTTAATCCCTTTATTCGTTTGGTTTGCACCAGTTGTCACTCCCGGTGGTTGGAGGACAATTGTACACTCACCTGGAATTGTGGGATCTCTTTATGACCTATCCACAAGATCATTATTGAACTAATTTTATCATTAATGATACACCTTCAGGTGATACGTACCACGTATCCACATATGTTTGAAATAGCATGATATTGTGTATATTAAAGTGTATTACTACTTAGCGCTGCACTAACTTATTCGGATATATATGTATTATTGGAGGTTTTTCTTGGTTGCCTTTTTTGGTGTATCAGCAGCTCATTAACATAATTTGTTGTGTATATATACATATATACTTTCATTTCATTCTAAGGTAGCGCTCACTAATATCCTTTTACTAAGCGGTATCTTACCACATCTGAGTATGCCGTAGGATACCGCACAGCTGCTAAATCGGCGTGGGGTCCCTCCCCATCCATACCAAGCCCTTTGGGTCTGGTATGGAGTTTGAGGGAAATCCTTATGCCAAAGTTAAAAAAAATTACTTGGGGTTTCCCCCAAAATCCATACCAGACCCTTATCCGTGCATGCAGCCTGGCAGGTCAGGAAAGGGGGGGGCGAGCGAGCACCCCCCTCCTGAACCATATCAGACCACATGCCCTCAACATAGAGGGGTGCTTTGAAGCAGGGGGGCTCCCCCCCAAAGCACCTTGTCCTCATGTTGATGGAGACAATGGCCTCTTCCCCACGACCGTGGCCGGTGGTTGTTGGGGTCAGGGTCAGGTTTGACAAGGGGGCCCCAGATTCATGGTACCACTACTCATTCACAAAGAAAAAAAAAAAATGTAGTGTAAAATATGACAGAAGACAGTCTTTGACAAGTCCTTTATTACAAACAAAAATAAAAAAAGTAGAAGTAGATCCAATGTCAAACACGATGCCTACCGCCACCAGCGACCTGAAAAAAAAAAAATTAAAAATGCTCTGCACTCGACGCTGGCTCCCATCATTTGACAACTGCGCCGACCTGACATGTCATAAATACTGTGATGATGTCACCAGGGGCGGGGTCGGGGTCACCCCACCCTCTTTTAAAATCATCATGCGTTGTGATTGGAAAAAGCATTGCACCTGACCACAGGTCAGGTGCATCACTTTGGCAAACCACAATGCACTGTCATTTATTCACTATGTGATGCCTGTTTATGTGTCCTTGCTTCATAAGCCAGTTATAGACTTGGGAGGTGGCCATTTTGTATTTGCATGTTGGAGTTTTGGTACGTGGGTGCACTAGGACCCTGGTGCCATTGTGCTACTTGCTAGGGTCCTGTGCACTCCTTTGCCTTTAAGAGGGGTGGGCTCCCTCAGGTACACCTACCCTTGATCTATCCATTAAATGCATGTGCCTCTACTATGGGGACTCTCAGAAATTGTAGAGTTAGGACCACAGAATATCAGGGTGCCGTGACGAGGCTCTGTGGCTTACGTATGTATTTGCAAATGTGTGCTAACTAAACCCCTGTTATAAACGCATACTGTTAGACAGGTTAATTCAGTTGTTAGCAAGCTGGCTGGCAAGCTGTGCAAGAACATTGTTCTCTCCCCTTTATTCACTGTGTGATGCCTGTTTATGTGTCCTTGCTTCATAAGCCAGTTATAGACTTGGGAGGTGGCCATTTTTATTTGCATGTTGGGGCTTACCGAATGCCCTTACCGTTCGTGTGTGTTCACTGAACACACGAACATCTGATGTTCGAGTCGAACTTATGTTCGACTCGAACATCTAGCCCAACCCTATTGATCTTACAGTGTTAGCTCACCTTTCCAGAAAAAATTAAAAGGTGTACTAACAATATATACTTCCCACCACCCCCTTTCCCTGTCCCCACCACACTTATCTCTGGGGATGCTGAGCTTTCAGTGCCCACGCAGCTGGTCCAGTGGCCCAGGGATATGAAATCCCCACTCTTCACCCTCTTTTCTGTGCAGAGCTCCTGGAATGGATCAAATTGATTCTGACTGGTCAGCGCCTACACAGTGAATTGTTCTGATCTGTCCTGAAGAAGAGCAGGGATTTCAAATCCCTGGACTACTGGACCGGCTGTGTGGCCATTGACAGCTCATCATTCCCAGAGGTAAGTAGAGTGGAGACTGGAGGGGTGGGGTTGGTGTACCATGCTAGTTAAAGCAGAGCTGCACCCAAAAGGGGAAGTTCCACTTTAAGGACCGGTCCCCCGCTCCCCGTTAAGGATTGGCACCTTTGGGGAGCTGGAGGATGGTTAAGCGGGTACCCAAAATTGACAGGTATACACTCTCACTTCCGTTGCAATCGCCTAGGCAATCGGAAGCGGACGTTGTCCTCCTCCCTTCCCTCCCTATAGTCTTCTGGGACACTTGACAGGTCCCAGAAGACTACGGGACCATTCAGAGAGTGCAGCGCTACTCGCACATGTGCAGTGGGCACCTGGCTGTAAAGTCTCAAGCTGTACACACTGAAGATGTCGGTGTCAGGAACACAGGACGACCAGTGAAAACAGCTATGGGGAGAACACCGCAAATT